TAGAAGGCCTGGCAGAGAGCTGCTGGAGCCATCTTAGTTTAGGGAAAAAGCTCCAGTTCAGAGAGGGGGAGTGGCCGAGGCCTGAGCCAGCCCAGCAACAGCCAGGATTGGTTTGGAAAAGAGGGGCGGAGTTAGCCAGATGGAGGGAAAGAGAACAGATAATTTTGACAGTTCAGTAGAGTTCAGTTCTGAGTAGAGTCGAGTTCAGTTCTAAGTGAGGTTAGAGCAGGATTTGGGAGTTTTAGGAGTCTCTGTTAAGAATAGGCAGCTTGCCTGTAGTTTGCACAGCAAAGTAGGCTGTGGCAGACTGAGTTACAGCTATTTTAGGAAAGAAAATAGCTGGGTTTTGTGTTTAAGAAATTGTAACAAAGAAAAGAACCATTCTCTCAAGTAACCATTACGCTTCTAAGAAACAAGAACACTTTTATTTGTAACAGCCAAGCCTCTGAACCTGCATTCACTTTTAATTCTGTAACTTGTAATCAATAAACTCTTTCTTGTAATTTTTAAAATTGAAGCCTGAGTCAAGTGCTATTTTTGATTGGAGTCATTTTCCTTATTGAATCAACCTCTCCTGTTTTCCCCTCATAGAAAGCCCTTGATAATACACAGCATTTGGTGGAGTAAAAAGCCTTTTATTAATTTAAACAGCCTTTTAACATTTTAAATAGCTAGAGGGTTCGTGTTTCTTTAGTTTATGGTGGCAGCGAAGGTTTTACATAACGAGACATCCCCTCAAACACTATAAGAGCCAAAGTGGTGTGAATTCCTTATTGAAGGAGGGACAGTGGTGGGATTGATTGTTCCACCCTGCCCAGATATCTCTCTAAGTTCTTATAATTGGTGGCAGCGGTGGGATTGATTGTTCCACCCTGCCCAGAAGTCTCTAAAGTTGTTATAAACACCACCCCCTGAGTCAGACTTTATTAGACTTCATGTCAAGGGGAAACCTTTACCTTTTCTTAAATGACATAAAATTGAGATGGAAATGAAGGATGTACAAAAAGGTCATTTATGTTTCTTATACACCTTCTCAGAGAGCCAGTATGGTTTAGTAGTTTTAAGTGTTGGGCTAAAACTGGATATCAGGGTTCAAAGTCCCTCTCAGCTATGAAAACCCAGTCAGTGTCCTTGGGCAAGTCACAATCTTTCAGCCACAACAAAGGCAATCTTCAAGCCTCTCTCAACAAACTTTGCCAAGAAAACCCTGTGATGGGTTTTCCTGGGTCTCCATAAGTTAGAAATGAATGAAGGTACATGACAACAATAACACAACTTCTTATACATATAGTCTTAAGATAATTTGATGTAATATTTACAATAAATGTGTACATGAAGCAAAGTTTCTGTACATTGAACTATTAGAAAGTAGAGATGACACTATCTCAACTACTCATGTGGGTGAGTTCAGAATTTGAAGCATTATGCATTTCAGAATTTCAGGTAATGGATGCACACCCTATATTGTTTTTCCAGACATGTCTTTGTTCAATTTTTTCTCTCCAGAGCCTTCAGATTTCATAAAAACTTTACCACTAAATTTTACAGTGAAATGTATTTTGCAGCATAAACTATTGTTCCTAAGCTTAACTTAAATAATAACTATTTGCATTAAACGTTAGGACTGCTACTTCATAGTAATTTTACCAGTCTACCTGGTTTGCAGTAAGTAGAACAGCTCCTGAATCAGGCAGTAAAAAAAATGTTACACCTGACTGAGTAAGGATGCCACTCTTGCCCTAACGTTTTGACAGGGGTAGTAGATTCCTCAGTGCTCATCACTTAGGAGCCAGAAGCGCTTGGGAAAACCTCTGACAACTGTCCCTTTTGTCCTTCTCCACAGATTATTATTGATAGCGATATTCTTATGGAGTGCTCTTGGGAAAATGAGGGAAGAAAATCTGTGCAAGAATTACTCTTTTTAAATGGAAATAGTGGTTGCCAATCTTATCAATATAAATCTCACTATTTTCAGTAGTCTGGAAAAGAGATAGTTTGCCTCTCGCGCCCTGCCTCTCAGATTTTATTATTGACTGATGTTATAATGGGAATTAGCAAGGGATCCAGAGCAACACATACAACTTAAAGCTTGTTAAGTTCATTTAAGATACTACTTATTTCAACTATATCTTAGCAAGTGTGCATGCTTTTGCATGCTACAATACATTCAGATGTTCTTTCAAACTTTTAAACCATACAAACTACTTAGGTAACAATTTTCCATTAGACCAATGAAAAAATATCAGAACAATGAGACACAATGGAAGACCCTACCAATCATCAAATAGTGTGGATTACATTAGAGCAGGGGTCCTCAAACTTTTTAAACGGAGGGCCAAATCACAGTCCCTCAAACTGTTGGGGGGCCAGATTATAATTTGAAAAAAACAAACAAACATGAATTCCTATGCACACTGTACATACCTTATTTGTAGTACAAAAACACTTAAAAACAATACAATAATTACAATGAAGAACAATTTTAACAAATATAAAATTAGTATTTCAGTGGGAAGTGTGGGCCTGCTTTGGGCTGATGAGATAGGATTGTTGTTGTTGTGTGCTTTCAAGTCATTTCAGACTTAGGTTGACCCTGAGCGAGGGCTGGGTAAATGATCTTGGAGGGCCGTATCTGGCCCCCGGGCCTTAGTTTGAGGACCCCTGCATTAGAGGGTGGAGTAAATGTCTCATCCATATATTTTACAAAAGTGCTCAAAATAGTATTTTTAAGATTTCCTCTTTTGAAAATACAATGTAGTCAAGAACTTACTTTATATATACTCGAGTATAAGCCTAGTTTTTCAGCCCTTTGTTTAGGCTGAAAAGTCTCCCTTGGCTTATACTCGAGTCAATGTTATTTATTATTTTACTCTGTTGTTGTTGTTGTTGTTGTTGTTACATTTATTATTATTGGAAGGATACGTAAACACATGTACATTGTAGAAAATTAGAATAATTGGTTAATCAGAGTTGGGCAGGCTTATCTTAAATTACAGCTTTATATAAATATTTAAAAACGTCTAACCTACTGATGCCTCAACTAATGTAATTTTATTGGTATCTATTTTTATTTTGAAATTTATCAGTTGCTGCTGCATTTCCCACCCCTGGCTTATACTCGAGTCAATCTTTTCCCAGTTTTCTGTGGTAAAATTTGGTGCCTCAGCTTATATTTGGATCGGTTTATACTTGAGTATATACAGTATATGGTTGAATTTTATTGATGTTTCAGAGATTTTACCTTGTTCTTCATCTCTTGAATGTGGAAAACTATTGTGTCTAAGAGTATGATTTAAGCTTTTTGATTGGAGATGGCAGAATAAACATGCAAATTGTGTTCTCTTTCACCTCTCAGTGTGTAGATTTGTTCCAAATGTGAGCCAGAATAGAATCAATAATACCCATTTACAACAGTGATCATATACTTCCCGGGATATTGAGCCTAATGTGTTATAGTAATGGTGTAGGATTCCCTTTTGTGCACATTTACACCCATGTAAACTGCATTGGACACAAGGGACATATTATCAAGTAAAGATACTAAAATTGTTTTGCATGTTTACTTGGGAATATGCCCCATGTTCGCTAATGAACTAGGAGAGAAACCCCATTGCAGACAGTTGGCTTGAGCTGGTGTAGAATTGGGGTGTTAGTCAAGAAACCACATAAAATGTTTGAGAGTTCATCATGGTGATTATATTGTTGAATAGCTTAAGAAATTGTATAAAGAAGGAAACTAGAACAATTACCTATGACTTGTTTACAAGAGCAAAAATGCTTGTTGAAAAAGAATTGGAAATTAGGTTAAAAGTCAGTAGAGAGGAACACTATAGGTCAGTTCATAGCAATCTGATGATGTGTAAATGAATTACAATGACTTCTAGTGCAAATCAAGACTGAAGTCTTTTTCAATGCCAAAATTACTAAACTTGGGGTTTTGCATTTTGGATATATTATGAGAAGACATGACTTGTTGGGAAAGCTCAGGGGGAAAGCTGATAGTGCTGAAAAAAGCTGAAGGCAGTAAAGAAAGACCACACTGCAGATGGATTGACTCTGTAAAGGAAATTACAATCTTGAGTTTCCAAGGCTTCACTGGGGTTGTTAATGCCACAGTGTTATTAATAGTAAAATCTCATTAATGTCTTTCATTCCTAAATAGCCATAAGTCAAGGCCAACTTCATGGCACATAATAACAAATGAAGTGAGTTTTCTGAGCTCTCTGGCCATGTGCCAGAAGCATTCTCTCCTGACATTTCACCCACATCTATGACAGACATCCTCAGAAGTTGTGAGTCTGTCGGAAACTAGGTAAGAGAGATTTATGTATCTGTGAAAGGTCCATGGTGGGAGAAAGAACTCTTATCTGTTGGAGGCAAGTGTGAATGTTGTAGTTTATCACCTTGATTAGCATTTGATGGCCTTTCAGCTACTTCCTACCTGGGAGAATACTTTGTGTTAGCTGGCCCTGATTGTTTGTTGCCTCAAATTCTCCTGTCTTCAGGGTGTTGTTCTTTATTTACAGTCCTGATTTTAGAGGGGTTTTTTTTTAATACTGGCACTATTATTAATAATACATGTCTATGCAACGATCGTCTGTGACTCTAGGTTCTTGATGAAAGTTAATGCACAGGTAAATAAGTAAGCACAACAATTTATTTGTGTGAGGAAGTTCTCTCTCTATTCCTTCATCTTCCCTCTAAACAGCTAGATAGGTAGATTTTATTCAAAGAACAAGTATTTACATGCCATAAAGTGATTTCATTCGCCATGCTCCATGTATGTTTTCACATCTCAAACTTTCACTGAACTTTTCTTTATTCTAATTTTATAGCATTGGATATTAGTCATATCTTGGCATTTTTTGGGGGGGGGGAAGAATTCTCAAAAACTCAGAATCATAACTGATGCTCAGATTCACAACTGAGCAGATGCACATAAAAAAACTTACTGGGTTAAATTAGTATATTGAGTTTAACCATTTCTTTTTCTTTTTCAGGCAAGTATATTACATTTATATTAGACCCCCTGCAGTTTCCTTCTGTAATCAAGAATGGAAAAAACTTGGAATTCACGGAAATAGCAGATGAGATCTCATCCCGAGCATTTGACCATCCACCTGTTTTAAAAGACATTTATTCAGGCCTAAGTGAAAATGTGCACAGGAGTTATCAATACCTTACAGGGAAACCATTGGATGCACTCTCTGACAGCATGATGACAAATCTCCAAAGTCTATTTAAGGCAAAGTTCTCACAAACAGCAGATTGGAAAAAAGAGACAGTGAATAAGTTCTGCTTCTCCATCATATTTGAAGCCAGTTTTAGAACGCTGTATGGAAGAGATCCTGATGCAGATGGCTACAGTGTAACTGATGCCATCGGAGACAAGTTTCTCAAGTTCGATGCCAAATTTGCCTATTTGGCTGCAAACATACCAGCTGAATTGTTGGGAGAAACCAAGGGAATCCGGAAAGAACTTGTCAATTTCTTTAAACCTGCAAATATGGCAAAGTGGTTGGGATGTTCAGAGGTGATCCAAGACAGAAAGAATGTGTTCGAGATGTACGAAGCACTTGGAGACTACGACAAAGCAGGTGGCAAACTTTTGAGTGATTGCTTGTCTGGAATACGATAATTTACTAGAGACCTTTGAAATAAAATGACAAAATTGCGACCTTGAACATTTTTAATGTTTTTTTCTAATTGGCTAATGATAAAATGTTTAATTCTGAAACAACCCTGTATGATAATTGATTCTCTCTTTCTCTCTTTCACTCTTTTTTTGGCAGAGGTGGTAAAACAAGATACTTAATGGCGATAATGAGAGAGCTTATAACAGAGCTGCATTTCCTCTCTTTATTTCGCCCCCACCCCCACCCTGAAATTACATTTCAAACTATTCTCATTAAGCAGAAAATTAGACTTCAGAAGCCTATTGGTCCTCATTAGCATTCACTGATCCTTGCCTGGGTCTGTGTCCTAACATCTTTTAATTAGCACACTGCAAATCTAATCAGTGTAATAAACGCTATTAATCTTCCTTTTCACTTATTTTCTCCCAGCACATCATTTCGCCTTCATGTGGGCCTCTGTGGGAAACACGATTCCAGCTACATTCTGGGCCATGTATTATCTTCTGCGGCACCCAGAAGCTCTTTCAGTGGTGCGTGACGAAATTGACCATTTGCTGCAGTCAACAGGTCAAGAGAGGGGGCCAGGATTCGACATCCACATCACCAGAGAACAATTGGACAACCTGGTCTACCTAGGTAATTTATTTTATCCCTCCTGACGAAAAGTAGGTATCTCCCTGTAAACTCAGTTTATCACTCATTCTGTTTAGTGAGAAGGTGGAGAACACAGCTGCTTAATTGACATAATAACAACCATTTACATCAATTATAAATTATGTAGTTTATAGCTGGAGATACACTTGCTGCATGTAAACATAAAAGGCCCAGGTAATTAACTAGGCAAGGTATGGAAAAGACTGAATCAAAGCCTTGCCGTTATTTACAAAAAGTTGATGCATATTAAGTTGGGTTCTGAACATCTGCTGAAGTGGCAATGCATTTCACAAGCATCAGTGCTCTATTGCAAAGACAGACCTTTGCCCAAATTGAAAGGAAGCTATTTGGAACAAAGAATGTGCCTTCAAAATATAATCTCTCTTTTAAATAAAGAGCATATTCTAATTTACCTGTGGTTGACAGTTTATTTGCAAAGCTTAAAGAGAGGCAAATATTACTGAACCAATTGTTTATTTTTTAAAAAAGAAGGAAAAAGGGGGTGTGGTAAATAGTACAAGAAAACAACTTCATTTCTAAGTTTATTTATTTATTTATTTATTTTACTCTATTTGAATCCCGCCTTTCTCTAACCCGAAGGAGACTCAAGGCAGCTTTGCAGATGGCAGCTATTCAATGCTTTTGAACAGCATACTGTTAAAATACACTTAAAGATTTAAAATTAAAATTAAATGCACATTAAAAACATATACAACATTACAATCACTATATAAAAAATTACTCAATCCCACAATCGTAATCCGGGACCGTTCCAAAAGTCATTGCACATACCGTGTTCCCTTGCTGTTTCGCAGTTTGCTTTCCGCGGACTCGCTGTTTCATGGTTAGGGTTGAAAATTAATATTTTTAATATATTTTTATACATTTTGTGGTTTTAAAATCACAAAATGTATAAAAATATATTTAAAATATTAATTCTCAACCCTAACCATGAAACAGCGAGTCTGCAGAAAGCGAACCGCTGCTTGCAGGGGGCTTCCCCCCCCCCCAGAAGCCCCCTGCATGGTGGGAAGTTTCCTGCTACTTGGCTGGCTGGCCAGTTGGCGACAGACCCCGCCCCACCCCTGGATTGGCCAGGGCCGGCTTCCCCACCTCGCCCCAGCAGCCTTTGCAGGGCTGCCCTGGGTGTCCGCAGGGCTCCATGGTAGCCAGGGCCAGCTGCCCCATCTCGCCCTGGCAGCCCTGCAGAGGCCACAGAGCCCTCCGGATGCCCAGGGCAGCCCTGCAAAGGCTGCCGGGGCAAGGTGGGGAAGCTGGCCCTGGACAACCAGTGGCAGGCCCTGTAGATATTATTTCACTGTAATTCCATAGATATTATTTCACTGTAGTTAATCTCTGAAGGCTTGTCCCCAGAGCCAAGTTTTAACTTTAAGTTTTTAAATCCTTCATCTTAGAATCATATGTGATACAGAACCCCTATAAAACTATACCATTTTGCAGTGTATATGAGATAGTGTGAATTGTAAAAATAGTACTGTGTGTCTATGTCTATACAAATAAAAATAAGTTGTGTGAAAAGAATTATACAGGCAATCCCCAAGTTATGAGCAAGATAGGTTCTGTAGGTTTGTTCTTAAGTTAAATTTGTATGTAAGTTGGAACAGGTTCATTTGTTAAATGTAACTCCACACACACACACACACACACACACTTACTCCTTACTTAGGAGATTCCTCGTAGCCCGAGGATGATGGTCCTCCAAGTCTAATGCCTTGGTGGTGGGTTTGTAGGTAGCTGTGGAGCCCTGTTCTTGATCCACATGTTCTCCCAGGTGGAAGGCGGTCCTGGTCAGGGTTAGCTTAATGCAGCTTCTTCTTGGCCCTCCAATCATGCCTCTTCAAATTCTGCAGCACTGCTGGTCACAGCTGACCTCCAGCTGGAGCGCTCAAGGGCCAGGGCTTCCCAGTTCTCGATGTCAATGCACTGAGTTTTTAAGGTTGGCTTTAAGCCCATCTTTAAATCTCTTTTCCTGTTCACCAATGTTCCATTTCCCATTCTTGATTTAGTAGTATAGTAACTGCTTTGGGAGATGGGCATACACACACACACTTTGGATAGCACAGAAAAGGGTTAACACCCTTGTGATGTTTGTCTCTTTATCTGCTCCCATTCTTCCAGAAACCTTAGGCCCCATCTACACTGCCATATAAAATCCAGACTATCTTATTTGAACTGGATTATATTAGTTTACACTGCCATATAATCCAGTTCAAAGCAGATAATCTGGATTTTATATGATAGTGTAGATGGGGCCTTAGAGTCCTTGACTTCCCAAAATTAGAAATCCAGCCCATTTTGGTCCATCCACTGCTGGCTTCATGCCTGGTTATCCAAGCCTCACCTCCCACATTGTTCCAACATGTGCTTTTTGAATACATCTTCCCCATAGTTAATTTAACTTGGTCTGCAGCTGTTTATTTTATACACCTTTGTTCCAGCTTCATTTTTTTATTCTTGTGTGTAGGTTCATTTGTAGTGTAATGAGCTAATTAATTCCCTAGTAGGAGCATCTAGTTCTGCCAAGAAGTTAAAAGTTATTGGCAGTTCCCTTAAAAAATGTTTTTAAAAACTTTAAAGGTGTTTAACATTTTTTTAAAAAATCCTTCACCTATTTCTCTGTAATTTGGCAGGCTTAATGTTCCCCTAAGGGGCTATTAAGCTTGCTAATATTTTCCAATGAGGATAAAGAGAGAGAAAAATATTATAACTATATTTGGAGCTCTCATCTTAATCAGTGGTAAGTACAAACCTTTGGGCTTGTAAATCTTCTCTGGGTTGATGGCTCAAAATGAAATGGAGTGGTTCCAGATCTCTCTCAATAGAAACAGAACATCTTACAAAGGATGAAATTGGGATTAAAACTAAATTTTGTGATTGGTACATATATTTATTGGATTTTGCTCCCTGTCGGCTGTCACCACCCCCAGCTCCTTCAAAGTCAAACCAGTCACATCAAGGATATCATCCATCCATCTTGCCCTTGGTCGGCCCATCTTCCTTTTTCCTTCAATTTTCCCCAGCATCATTGTCTTCTCTAAGCTTTCTTTTCTTCTCAAGATGTGGTCAAACTTCTTCATCTTTGCCTCTAATATCCTTCGTTCCAGTGAGCAGTTGGGCTTTATTTCCTGGTTGGATCTTCTCACGGTCCAAGGCACTCTCAGAATTTTCCTTCAGCACCACAGTTCAATAGCATCTATCTTGCTTCGTTCAGCCTTCCCTATGGTCCAGCTCTCACATCCATAGGTTACTATGGAGAATACCATTGCTTTGACTAAGCGGATCTTCGTTACCAGTTTGATGTCTCTACTCTTCACTCCTTTATCGAGATTGGTCATTGCTCTCCTCCCATTGCTCTCCTGTCTTGTTCACAGTACCTAAACCTAGCAAAATCTTGAGGTCAACAGATTTCCCACACTGGACTAAAAAGGAGCTGCTTTTTCAATTGGATTTCCCTTCCTTTTTACTTCAGGATGGGAAAATGTCAGAGGACTGAAAGGGAATGAACTAAATTCGGACAAATGATCTTATTCTACTAAAATACACTTATTATCTGACATAGATAATATATGTAGTTACATGTGAGTAAGTATGCATTGCCGTCTAAATCCATGCTTCCTTTCCACAAATCTACACTAGTAAATATTTATTCAAACATTCAGCGCTAAATTCACTTTCTTTCAAATTCTCCTTATATCAAGGAAAGTGTCCATTTGCCTGTTTTGTGTGTACATTCACATAACATTTGTAGCCTTTGTTGTTAAATTATAAATTAATTGTGTTCACGATTTCTTCATCTCCATCATGCCCTGCAGTATCCATGTCTAGGACCAAACAGATTGAACATGGTTAAGCAGGCATCATTAAAATTATAGGCTGAATGACATGAAATCATGGAATTTGTAGTTCTGTGAGTAACCAGCACTCCTTCACAAAGGATTCTTGTAAAACTACAACTCCATGATAGTTAAAATGCTGCCAATCTGCATTAATTCTACAGTGTAAATGCACACTCCGGGGGGGGGGGGGAGTCCTGGCAACCTTAATGTGCACTACAGAAATGTCTGAACATGCATGAATTCAAACTGGATCTATAATAGTTAATCAGGCAAACCCTTAGTGAAAATGCTGGTCAAACTGCCCAAATTCTATATGTTTTTAAACTCTTTTTTTCTTGCATGTACATGATGAAACCTGTTAAACTGGTGAAGTTTGTAATAACAAAGGATGAAATGTGCTTTTTTTTAGATTTTGGGATTCCTTGGAGCAAACTACAAGATGCAGCTGCCCTAGTCAATCAGAAACCCTTGTTTTGGGGGGAATTTTCAGGATTTTTGTCAAGATTTCCCATGTATAGCACTGTCACTTCTTTTCAGAATATCAGTCTCCACATGAAAAAGGCAACAGCAGATGGGTGAAGCTAGACTGCTCCCTTTCCAATTAACCCTTTCCTAAATGCCTAGGGATATCTGGGAATTCTGTTCAGTTCTCTCTTTTTTATGTTTAAAACTTTCCAAAACTGATTTTTTTTTTAAAAAAAGTTAACAGAAAGAATTTGAGATTTAAAAAATCTTGAACCTGGATGTCAAATGCTTAGCCCTTAAAAAGTTTTCAAACTTTGTTTATTCAGTCCAGTTTGTTGATTATTCTTTTTTTTTTCCTGAGGTATTCCTCAGCTTTATTATGTTGGGTAAATGAATATTCTGTTCAAAGTAGAATGTCTGTTGAAATTAGCCAATGCAGATAATCAAGATTGTGATTCAATTTGTGGATTTTTTTTAAAGAACTCATGAAAGAGTACAGTTTTTAAGGAACTTAATTTTTTTAACCTGAATTTGGGAGAACCAATATCATAACTGGGTTGCTGTAAGTTTTTCGGGCTGTATGGCCATATTCCAGAAGCATTGTCACCTGATGTTTCGCCTGCATCTATGGCAGGCATCCTCAGAGGTTGTGAGGTTTGTTGGAAACTAGAAAAATGGGATTTATATATCTGTGGAATGTCCAGGGTGGGAGAAAGAACTCTTGTCTGATGGAAGCAGGTGTGAATGCTTAAATTGGCCATCTTGATTAGCATTTAATGGCCTAGCAGTTTTCAAGGTGTGGCTTCTTAGAGCCTGGGGAAATCCTTTGTTGAGAGGTGATTAGCTGTCCCTGATTGTTTTTTGCTTCTGGAGCATGGCCACACAGCCCAAAAACCTTACAGCAACCCAGTCATTCCAGCCATTAAAGCCTTTGACAATACAATATCATAACTAAACCCCATTCCTCATATTCCTCTTTTTTCAAGGAATTGCCATAAAAATTATGACAACTTCTGGCTGTTATCTTGTGATTTGTGGGAAATGTAGGAGAAATATTACTTCTGCATTCATGGCACTTGAATAGTATAGGTTGATATGAAACCTTGCTTCAGATACTGACAGCAATTGTCTGTTAGTTTTTATTTGTACACAAAACCCAATGGGTAAAACAGAGATACATTATCATTCATTTAGCTTTGGTCATGCTTTATTTGCATACATTTAAATTGGTGCATACATTCCTATTGTGAATTATGTTTGCCCCAGGATATTACTGAATGCTAACCATTTACATAAAACACATCATTACAATCTATCAAGATGTGGAAGAAAAAAATCAATCCATGCTGCAATTGACATGAACCTTTTACATGTGCATCTACACTGTAAAATTAAGGTGGTTTGACACCCCTTTAACTACCATGTCTCAGTGCTATGGAAAACTGAAAGTTGGAGTTTTACAATATTTTGAGCCTTCTCTGCCAAAGAGCATTGGTTGCCTCTGAGTTGGCGAATGCTGAGCTTGAGATTGGTTTGTTGACTGTGATATATATATTGATTGTTCTGTCTTAATTGTTTTAATCGCTGTTTTACACGTTTATTTGTATTATTGTGTAGGCATTGAATTGTGCCTTTTTGTAAGCTGCCCTGAGTCCCCCCTCGGGGGTTGAGAAAGGCGGGGTAGAAGTACACGAAATAAATAAACTGCAACTCCCAGGAGTCCATACCATTGAGCCATGGCAGTTAAAGTGATGTCAAACTGCACTAATTTTACAGTGTAGATGCACCCTTTTAGTATCTTTGAGATCCTTTAATTCCTAGCAAAGGTATAGGTGAATCTACCATAGATGTTATTTATGCAGTAGAACCACACCCATTAGGACAAAACCTTACCCAAAATATTTGCATGCCCATCAACTATTTTTCTTCCATACGTACTTATAGGGTCCTATTACCTGATAAACACTTATTATAAAATTAACAATCCATTATGCACAGTAAGTTTTTTTTATTAAAGAATTACAGATGAAGATCATGTTTAATTAAAATTAACTTGCTTATGGAAGCCAAATGTACTAATGATTCACAATGACCTTTTATTACCTGCAGTCCCTTGTTTTGGCTGGATGATTGACAGCTTGCTGTTTGGCTACCGTGTTGTATTTCAGCTGACAAGACTTTTCATTTTAACTCAATTTGCCTGCCTATCACAAGCTGGTGGCAGGCCAGACTCAAGTCGCCCAGCTTTGCCTCAGCAGCTTGCTCTATTTCTCATTAGTACGCATTTATTCAGTGGAAATTGGAAGACAAATGCTTGAAGGCATGTGAACTAAGTATAGCAAATTAGGTTTAAAGACTGAATATTTATAAGTATATTGAAACGGCATCGACTTTTAAAAAAAGATCTTGGGTGAATCGAATGCTGGCTGTGTAAAAGAGAAGAGGAGCAAGGGGATTCTAAAAATAACAGTACTATTGGAAGTCGGTGGTTCCCCTCCCCTCTTTTCCCCCATCTCTACATAGAAATTATGTCAACTTTTCTGACAACCTCTGTTTCTGGTGGTGAAGTTTCAACCTCTCCTGTGTGCAAGAAGTGGGGTGGGGGAAGATGAGGGTCATGTTCATTTGCTGCTTGGTTATCCCTTGGTATGCTTTAAATTGCCTTGTTTGTTCGGCACTAGCACAGAAACAGATGTTGCTCTACCGTGCTGGATAATTTACTGTACCTCATGGTGCAGAATGGAAGGCCTCCCAAGCTTCCCAGCTGGTCTGACAGGAGCACTGCCTTCTGCCTACTGAAGTATGACAACAGCAAGTGCGGGCTGCAGCTTTATCATCCAGTTGTCATTCTCGTCCGCTTAGAATTCCAGCATCCAGACAGGGACGATTGGGGTATTGCAGGGTATGGATGGCGGGGGAGAGAAAACATTCCTTTTTTGTTTGTTTATTTTAATGGTAGACTGCTGCACGGAGCCGCACAAACTCCCTCCTCCTTTGTTGATCATAATGTGACTCATTACTTTTGTCATCTAAGGATTATCAGCCTGATCGCTCAGAGCGAGAGCCAAGCTCGCCTTCCCCCACATAACTGGTACTGGAAGGTAAAACAGATTTGTCATTTATGATCTGACCACTAAGCCACACTTTGGAGCTCCATTATTGTGATTAACTCCTGCATAAGATATGCTTGCCCGATTGTCATTTGCAATACCAGAGTGGGCAACAGACTGCTACGCTTCCCAGGGAAACCATCAGCCAATCTGATGTGACTGTCAAGCTTGTGCTGCTCCATGCAAACCTGCTATCTCAGCAACCCTACATCTCTGATTATTTTGCTTGCTGTTGTTGTTGTTCTGGGGTTTTTTTTCTGCACCCATGCTCCCCCACCCTTTCCCAACACACACAGACGTTTGGCTCCTCCGGTGTACATTGGCGTTACATATGTCAGCTACCATTTCCACACAACAGACTAAAATGGGTGTCATCAGCTTCATTTTGCCAAGGCTGGAGACAGCCTACGAGTAGACTCTCTGGACCTGCTTTTGTAACCACGTAAAGTTTTTTCATAGCCACGGCACTGCCAGTTGAAATCTATCGTGTCAGGTGCCTTGTGGCTATCCGCAGTAGAGGCCATGTTCTGGAACCGGGGTTCTTTGCTGGCTTCGTCACCAACAAGCCGATTTGACTCTCCCTGATTATAGTAACGAAGGCAGTCCAAAAGAATATGCACAGCCTCACTGTACGTCACATTGAATCACGGCGCTGGCCACACAGAGCTGACCGCAGCCTCATTTCTTTAGACAAATGCACGCTTAAGGAAAAAGAAAACAACTCTGGCGAGAAAGCATCCAAGGCCACTTTATTTGCTGTGCACTCTGCAACAGATTTAATTTTTAGTGAAAGAACATTTTTTATTATATTTTTCAGATGTTTCCATGCTGGGGTTTCCATGCTCTCGAGTAAACTAGCCTTGGGGCTGGGGAGGGGGTCACCCAGTCTGTCTTGGGGTTTCTGGGATACATTCCAAGAAACACAGTATCAACCATCTAGTTGATCTTTTATGGAAAGAGAGTTCTGTTTGGGGATGAAGGAGTTTCCTCCCCACCCCCAAAATAGGCTAATTTTCACACTGATGACTTGAAGGAATCATACCGCCTATTACAGCGCCCAGCCACGCTGGTGGAAAAATAGTCAGTTTTGATTACAAAGTGAGAGATGCAGGCCCAGACAGGAGCTACATGCTGGTATGCATGCCATCAGAATGATTTATGCAAATTATGCATATTATTCCCAAAGGAATTCCTCCTCAAACTGCCAGGATAAATTGCCGGAAATTAGCCATAAAATCTGTCATGCTAGGAGCAAGAGAGGTGAAGGCCACTGGGAAACCAAGGACATTTGCCTTCTTGAGCCTTCCAAGTTTATGCTGGCTTTCTTGGTCTTTCTGTCAATATACTACTAAGTATACAAGTTCCCTACTACCATCTTGATTTGTGAAAGCACCCTGCATTTTTTAAATTTGTTCAGTAAACAATCACATTTGTGCTGTAATGATAGAACTTCTAAGGTTTCCGTAGTACCTGATCGTATGCTTCTTTGATTATAATGTGTGGCTGAAGTGTCCTCTTGGGCTTCTAAAAAGGAGGCTAAGCAGCATTTTTTTTTTTGTAGTGTCTGGTGTTTCCTAACAAGCTCTCCAAAGTGAGTAAATGTTTGAAAGTATACTTCTCTTATTTTCAACATAATGCCCAAATAATAGTTTTCAACTCAAAATCCATGGCACTGCCTCAGGTCTAACAAAATTCATTTGGACCTATCAGTAAGAGTTATATTTAAAAGCCCAGATTGCAAAGCTCCTTCTAGCCCTCTGGGAAAGTGTTATTACCCATTTTTACACTCTCCCCCCCCCCCCCCCCTTCCCACATTTCCTTTGCTAGTCTGCTTTAGTAAACCTGTAGATTCCTGGCAGCTGTAGCAACTTACAACTTCCAATAGCCTTCTGTATTTTAATGCTTTGGGGTTATTTTCCTCCTCTCTTCTTTATTTAAATTCAGAGAGTGCCATAAATGAAAGTTTACGAATGTGCTCGTCTTCTATGAACATCCGCCTCGCAAAGGAACCTTTTATTCTGAAGCTTGAAGGGAATGTGGAAGTCAGTTTGAGAAAAGGAGATTACATCGCTATTTATCCTCCAATTCTACACATGGACCCTGAGGTCTACCAAGATCCTGAGGTAAACATTCAGCTGGTATTACATGTCCTACTCTAGGCACGTTTCTGTAACCAGGCATTTTGTAATATATAGATTTCTTTTGTTAAAGGCGGGGAGGGGGTGGGCATGGCTGTTCCTTCTTGTGGAACAAATCTTCCTACTTTTAGATCTTTTCAAGGTGCCTGCAGGCCACAGTATTCATGGTTCTAAAGAGAGAAATATGGTGATCAGTCTGACTGCGTCTCCTTTGAGAAGAACTGACAATTGTGCCTTGACTACCATAAACTTGAGGCTAAATGTGGGCTTTGTTTGGAAGTGGATCATTGGATGCCCAAAGAAGGCTGAATAATAGAAGGTGACTTAAAGAGCAAATAATGTGGGCCATTTAGCTAAGTGCCCCCAAAGCATCATTGACTCTCTAAAGCCCCTTTAATAGCAGTCTTCTGTAGCCGTATGCTTTTCACCTCTCTTTATAGGGATTGGCCCTTTCGTGGTCAATTAGTATGGTGTCCTGAACTCAAGATTGTAAAGCTGTTGCTTTGCAATGAAGCTTTGAGGGTAATTGTGTCATCTCCTTATATTTTTCCCTCTTTCTGAAGCTAAAGTTAATGAATATCAAAGACTGGGAATTAATCCAGTCTAGCACAACCTTAATACAGTTTCAGAAGTTCATCACCTGCATGCAGATTGAGTAGTCACATTCCTAAGATTATTACTGAGGCTATTTGTTACTGACTTGAGGATTTGTTACAGGAAGAAAGAGGGTTTAGGTTAATTTTGCCTCTCCCCCCCCCCCCCCCCCCAACTAAAATTATACATAAAATCACTGTCATGGCTTTTTGTGTGCCATGCATGCATTAGGGAAAATTTTGCTGATAGTATATTGAATTGGTCTCATCTTTGTTTCTGGTGTTTTTGAATTGCATTCTGTTTTATAAAGGAAAGGGGGGAAATAGTATGATAGCTGGTACCCTAGGCTAGTTGCGCAACATGGTCTGAATTAATGAAAGGAACACGTGCGCCAGACAGCAGCACGAGTGAGGGACGCAGCTGAAACAGGATAGCAGTGAACTAATGTAACTCAGGTGCCATTCCCTGGCCCCCTTTCTAGTGAGCTATGGAGAGCAGAAAAGAGCACTTTCTGGCAAGGTATGAGAGGCAGAAAGGGGGGTATTGGTTCCATTTCCTACCCCCCTCTCTGGTGACTGTATCGCAGCTGAGTCTCTCACTCCCTGTGCTGTCTCACCCACGTGTTCCCCTAATTCAGACCTGCGCTGGGCAACCAGTGTAGCGTAGGGTCCCAGCTATCATAATATCCCCGAAAGGGGATATACTGGGTTGAATTGAGGGCAATGTTCCATTGAAAGAAATGGAAAGAGGCAATTTTTGCCAATTTTCTCTCAATTTCCAATTTCTAGTCAAACTTCTATAACTTCATTGTTCTAGAGGTCACCTAGTTCTCCATAACAGATTGAGGAAGCATACAAGACTTCACAAGCTTCACAAGATGAATACAACCCACTGAAATAAGATATTGATTGAGTGTGTATTTTTATAAAATTATAGGTCAAACAGTCTTTTTTCCTATGTTTGCTGGCACTCAGATTCACTTAATACATTTCTATCCTGTCATATGTCTGCAAGTTTCTAGGCAGTTTACACATTTTGAGAGCAGAACAACATAAATATTAAGCATACAAGTGTAAAAGCAGCCAATGGAACACAGTTAGATGCTTAAAATTGCCAGCTAAAATTTTAAAAGCCTTTGCTGGCACCTGTAAGATGATAAAGTTGGTCAACAGCCCAAGGATTCTACAGTTTGAAGCATATCCCACCACCAACAGAGATGGCAAGAAGACCAGGGTGTCAGCTGAACATATTAACATTTTTCTTAGGTTGGTATAGAATGAAATGTTATCTTATGTATATTAGCAGTAGAGCTGGGAAAACAGTTTTGTGTAATCTGCCTTCATCGTAATTTGTACTTCCCAGACCAATATATGGACCGGAATACAATTATATGCCAACCCTAAATTTTGGAATAGAGTTCTCATCTCAATAATGGCATTTAAAAATTTATATATTGAGAGAAATTTGATACAAAATGTGTGTTAAAGCAATTACAGTATGACATATAACATGAATCACCATGTTTTAACAACATATAAAAACCTACTGAGAAATAAGATCTATGAATAGGATTTTATTCAGATTTCACATACAAACCATTTATAGATTCATTGATTGATTCATCCATTCCTAACTAGAGATGTTATATGTTACCATTAGTGGGTACATTTTGCAAAGAGTTGGTACATATTACAAATCTGCTAGGACTGATGGGAACTGGAATTCATCAATATCTGAAGGGCTGTAGAGTTTTCGGTACATATAGTATCTGTAACTGACGTAAGACCAGTTGTTAGTCCTAATTAGGGAAGAGCCACTAAAATCAATGGAAATACAGGAAGTCAACATACGCTTTAGTTCCTGTTGATTCATTTAACTAGTTGGAACTAACAAATGGATTTATACTATCATCTGTAGTCATGTTAAATAGTGAAGTGATTCATGTTTGCTATAATTTTGTTCTATCCTTATCATATCATCACTTTCCACTTCTGGACTTACATCCTGCTAAGTCCAATGCTACCACAATACGTATTTCATTGAGTGATAATATGTATACATTGTCTCTCAAACTGAGTTCCAAGTGCTGTTAACAGCAATCAACTAGTACAATAAACTATCCCTCAAAGCACATAAATGGAAAGCAGACCAGCAAACACAAATAACAGCTAAAATACTAAAAAGTTTTTAAATATCAGTGAAAGCTGGAGAGAATAAGACCAACTGCATATAACATCTAAAAAAGAAGGGATGGAAATATGTCTTGATGAAACATTTCATATTTGAATAGTACCACAAAGAAGATCATGAGTCTGTACTGACTTGCCTGATCTCAAAAGACAGGATACTGTGGAGGGAATGTATTGATCCATTCAATTCTTTTAAATATCTTGGCTTTGGCCAGTTAGAAGTTTAAAGAACTGGCTTTTACAGCTAGAAGCAAGTGACGTTTTATAATATCAAACAATTACACATTCATAGCAAACCTTGGAAATGTTAGTACCATAATTATCATAACCTCCCAATCACATGTAATACCAAAATAATATTTTCAAATTATAATTCATGGAAACCCATATTTCTGCTTCCTTTTATGGCTTGATTTGAAGACTACTAGCTGAGGCATGGGAATTCTGTATCTTATGGACCAGAAACAATCCTTATGTTTTATGTGGTTGTTGTGTGCCTTCAGACAGTTTCCAACTCATGATGACCCTAAGCTCAACCCATCACAGGGTTTTCTGGGCAAGATTTATATGAGATTTAGCTTAGTCTCCCTCTAAGGTTGGGAGACTATGAGTTGCACAAGGTCAGCCAGTGGGCTTCCGTGGCCAAATGGGGATTTGAACCTTGTTCTACAGAGTCCTAGTCCAACACTGAAACCACTATACTGTACTGGCCTATTAGCTTTAAATGTTTTTGAACTTTTTAAACCCTCTTTAATATCAGGATTCCAAGGAGTATACACATCTAAAAGAAATAATGTAAAACCACATCCTCATAATAATAAAAAACAAATTATAGGCAAATACAGACTACAACAACCCATTTAAACTCCTTGGTGGATTGAAGCAGTCAGGGTCTTGGTGCCAATCACTCACTGAGTAGTGTGATCCTTGGTTGGGTGCTACCACTGAGAAGACTCTCCTTCCTTTCTAGATCCATAAATTACTTAAGATGATTCCTTAAAATTTCCTCACCTTGTACAATTTCTTGACACTTGTGCATTGTTTGCATGGAGGGAAAATAAACACACATTTTTAAAAGTAATAGACTTGCTGCTATGATATTCATCATTATCATTTATGCTTATAATAATTTGAATTTTGACCTAGCCAATCCAGCATAATCAGGAACAGTTGTATGATATGTGTCTGTGTATCATTCATCATTTCAAAACATGAATTTTCTGAAGATGCTCTAACTTACTTTCAGTAGCATTCCTGAAAACAAAAGACATGCAGATTATATGTGAGCGAAACAGTACCAACCTTTCCTAACCTCATCCCTACTGGATGAGATGATAATGAATTATCATTAGAATTCATTAGAAGAAGAAGACAATACTTATCTATAGTCTGCCTTGTTCATATTGTGAGACTCAAGTCATTTAACAACACTGAAAACATAGTGAAAAATTTGCATCTATCAAAATTTAAAAGCCATTAAACTCTCATAGAATTAAAACCAGTTAAAGCATATACTATTAAAGAACAACAAATACAAATCCTATACATTATGCAAGACCCATTTCAATGAAAATATAAATTCTCAAAGACCTGCTTAAGAAGAAGAAAGGCTTGCAGAAAGATAATAAGGAGAATGCAGTCTAATCTCTCCAGGAAGGGAGTTCCAGAGCAGAGGGGGAGCCACAAAATACCCTTTTTCATGTTACCATTGAAAGTATCCATGAGGATGCTGGGATTGAGAGAAGGGCCTCTCTAGAAGATTGGAAACACAAGCAGATCCATGCCAAATAACAGGATATTTCAAAGAAATCTAGACTTGAACAAGGTAAATGAGGAAAGGTTGGATTTGTTCAACTTGGTGAAGAGAAGACTGAAAGGTGACATAGTTGCATCCTCTCAACATCTCAAGGTCTATCACAGAGGGCAGGGTATAGTTTTGGTCTCTGCTACCTAGAGGATAAGACCAAGTCTAATTGTTTTAAATAACAGAAGGGTTGATTTTTATTTAACATTAGAAGGAACATTTTGACAGTGAAAGTGTTTTGGCAATGGAGTCAACTGTCTAGAGAGATGGTGGAGTCTCTTTCTCTGGGTATGTTTCATTAGAACTGGAGACCTATCTAGCAAGAGCTCTGCCTCCTGAAGTTACCAGAGTGCTTGTTAATTTAGATCAGAAGTGACCAACTATGGTTTACAATTTTCCATCTAGCATCCCATAACCTCCCCATCTCTGTACTAAGTTCTTACCTGATCATTTCTTAGATCTGTTTTTTTCCATTTCTGAATACACTACATTCATTTTTATATTCTGTTCTCTTTCAGCAATATAAATTTGACCGTTATATAGAAAACGAAAAGAAAAAGACGGCTTTCTACAAGCAGGGAAAGAAGTTGAAATACTTTCTGATGCCTTTCGGCTCCGGGGTCAGCAAGTGCCCTGGCAGGTTCTTTGCAATTAATGAGATTAAGCTGTGTTTGGTGCTATTGTTGTCTTATTTTGATATGGAATTATTGGAACAAAAACAAATTGGAATGGACAAGAGTCGATTCGGCCTTGGAATCTACTTGCCTGATTCTGATGTTCTGTTCCGCTACAAGCTGAAATCTTAATATGGAAATTCAGTTGTTGATTGAACATCCTACTCTGATTCATTCTGTCTCTTGCTATTAAATTCTGTATGGCTTTCATATCTTTCTGGTATATTTCAAATATGAAATTTGCTGCATTTTGATTTATGCAAAATATTTCAGATGATGTCAAAGACACCTTCATATTTGCAAAGAGCCAAGATTTATGCATGAGGCAAGATGCACAGGTGTTAATCGGGAATGGGAATCTTATGGCCTTCTAAATGCCATTGAACTGTAGCCCCTAGTATTACCATGCGGGGATAAGGCTGCTGGAACATGCAGCACAGTCACAACTGGAAGGCCTTACATTTCCCACAGCTGGTGTGAATCCAATTGCTAGTCCAAGCTAAAGTTCATCCAGTGAATCAATAGACTATGGGAAGCAAGCATATGTATATAAGTTCCATTGATTCAATATAATTGATTTGGAACTTGTATAAATTATCTGTTGAATCGATGGAATTATCAGTTGAATCAATGTAAGTTCAGCTGATTCCATAGAATTAAAATATTAGATTGTTGTAGGTTTTTTGGGCTATATGGCCATTTTTTAGAAGCATTCTCTTCTGACGTTTCACCTGCATCTATGGCAGGCATCCTGAGAGGTTGTGAGGTCATTAAAATATTGTTCTTGGGACTCAAAATGACATTGAGGACAAACAGTATATTCTCATTGAAACATCATAAAGAAGGTTCAGGAGAGATTTGGGATTCAAAGGTTTACAATTGCTAATAGAAATTGTGGGTTTTATTCTTTTGACATTGTTTCTGATAAGCATTAATCAGCCTTCACAAATGTCTTCATATTTAGGATGAAAAAATGTTTTGGATGAATATCGAAAGAATCAAAGCAGATACATGGATCCAGGCCTAGCACTGTTAGAGGTCTGGGTTTGAGACCCTGCATATTCAGTCATGTTAGTACTAAATTAGTACTGACATCTTTCTCTTCAAGAAGGAGAATGACAAACTAGAACTTGTGCAGAGAAATGTGACCAAAATGATCAAGGGTTTGGAAACCAAGCCCTAGGAGCAGTGGTTCTCAACCTGTGGGTCCCCAGGTGTTTTGGCCTACAACTGCCAGAAATCCCACCCAGTTTACCAGCTGTTAGGATTTCTGGGAGTTGAAGGCCAAAACATCTGGGGACCCATAGGCTGAGAACCACTGCCTTAGGGACTAGCTATGTTTAGCTTGGAGAAAAGAAAGCTGAAGGGGGACATGATAGCCATGTTTAAATACTTGAAAGGATGTCACATGGTGGAAGGGGCAAGCTTATTTTCTCCTGCTCTCGAGAAGACTAGGACATGGAGCAATGGATTCAAATTGCAGGAAAAGAGATTCCACTTAATCATTAGGAACAACTTCCTGATGGCAAGAGCTGTTCAGCAGGGGAATATGAAGCTTTGGAATTTGGTGGAGTCTCCTTCTCTCGAGGATTTTAAGCAGAGGCTGTGTGGCCATCTGTGCTTTGTGTTTTCATGCATGGCAGGGGGTTGGACTGGATGGCCCTTGTGGCCTCTTCCAACTCTAGGATTTTCCCTTCCATGAAAAACCACATTCATTTTAAATAGAAACAGCAGACAGGTGCAACACGGATGTCTCCATTTTAGGAATAACTGCATTACAAATTTGGCTGGTACAAATGGAAAAATTACATTTCAATTCATATGTGAATTTGCAAAACACATATTTGTAATGGAAACTGCAAATTTTGCAAACTGTGTATCTGGAACTAAAAGAACTGGATGCTTTTTAGGATAAAAATGGATCACAGAGAAAAATCAAACTGACATTTTTTTTCCATTTGAGACATCAGTGGAATTTCTGGCTGTTGAAAGGAACAAGACACTAAAGCCGGCACAAACCTTTTACTTCTAACAGGTCATTGAATGTCTGAACTAAGGTTTTGTTGAGGGAGGGTTTGATTTATTTGGGGTTATGGTTTTGTTTTACTGATATGTTTGTAATTGTGTTTTTAATTAGTCTTTTGTGTTTTAATTGCCTTTGATTTTTTACCCTGTGGGCTGCCTTGAATTCCATTTGTTGGTTGAACAATGTGGTGTACATTTAATAAATAAATGTCAAAATGCCAAATGCAATTGTAAAGAGGTTTTTTTATTATTGAATATGAAGGGGTTTAATTCAGGATACACATGCCAAGGAAACTCATTTTTCTGCTAACATCACACTTACCCCCACACAAGTAGCTGTTATTCACAGTGTATCCTGCTCTTTTCCTTTTGCCATCTGCAGGGACCACAACTTGAAAATTACTACAGTCTCTGACATGATGAAGTAGTATGGAGGCTGTTGGAAAATGCTCCCCAACTAAGTATTTAACCCTATTCAGTTGTTTGCTTATAGAGCAATGGGGCTTTAGACTGTAAGGGTTTCCTTAAAGCTTTTAACTGATGTGAACCCCCGTCTGTCAGCTCCAGCTTCCCATGCAGAGAAATGAGAGAAGCCTCCCACAGGATGGTAACACATCCGGGCATCCCCTGGGCAATGTCTCTGCAGATGACCAATTGTCTCACAGCAGAAGTGACTTGCAGTTTCTCGAGTCATTTCTGACACAAATAATAATAATAATAATAATAATAATAATAACCACGTATACATGCTGTTTCTAAAGCTTTCCACGTTTGCTAATTCACCCATGGTGAGGATGTCTGTAAGCAACAAGTCTAACACCCTAAAGACACCAAATCTTGCCTGATCTTAAAGTTGAGCAAAGCTGGCCCTGGTTAATAGGGCTGGGCGGTTTCGTTTCGTTAATTCGTAATTCGTTAATAATTCGTTAATTTTTTCAATTACAAAACGATAACGAACCATTCTGGAGCAATTTTTTAAAAAAACGAATTTTTAAACACGTTTTGTAAATGCTTCGTATTTCGTTATTGTATTCGTTTCGTTATTGTTCTGAGGTCGTTTCGTTATTATTTCCGCATGTCTGGGGCAAGTTTTTTGTTTAATTAGTGAAAAAAATTATAATATCACACCAACAGTCAACAACAGAGGGAGAGGGAAGCTTCAGAAGGTTTTGGAGGTTTTTTAGCGTATTTCGCGGTCGCGTCCGCCATTAACGAATCGATTCGTTATTGTTTCGGAAATCGATTCGTTAATTTTTTACCATTTACGAAATTTCGTAAATATCGAACTTTTTAAAAGGAAAATTTTGTAATTATTTTAAATATCGAAACAAAAAAACCCCAAATACAAATCGATTTTAGAAACAAATTTTTCCGTTGTTACCCAGGCCTACTGGTTAATACTTGGATGGAAGGCTGTCAATGGATCCCAGACTACATTTTAGGGGAAAGAACTGGCAAAAACACATCTGAGTATTCTTTGCCTAAGAATGTAAAATCCATGGGATCATCATAAAGTAACTTGTAGGTGCACACATACACATTTAAGAACCACACTATATAATCAGAGAATCTTCCTGATGTGTTTGCAGTCACATAAAAGACTTTCCTCCCCCCACCCTCCCTCAAGATGCTATGTGCAGACTCTACTGAATTGCTCCACTTCTTGAAACTTTCCTGCAGTTCGGTTAGGCTTTGGTACTGCGTGTGTGTGTGTATATGTGTGTGTGTGTGTGTGTGTGTGTTGGAATGTATCTTTAAATAAACTATTTAGTGGGCCCAGAGTATCCATTGATTTTAGAAGACAATCACCACCCAGCCCATGGATAATAAAATCTGTAGATATATACAAGTGTGCAGCAACATTGTGTATATACAAGATAAAAGTTTGCTTTTGGGGTTTAAAAAATATTTTCAAGACATAGAGAACAGAATTTGTGGATATAAATGGTTGACTAATTTTTTTTAGCTGTGATGTTTGCATACTGCCTGTTTGTCTAACTTTGCTAAAACTACTTTTGGACAGACCCTAAAAAAGACTAGGTTTTGTTGCTGAATCTGAGCTGTTAGGCTCAAAATAACCCTCTGTTGGGGTGATTCCACCATAAATATAGCAGAGTACCAGAAATAAACTTCATAACCAGAAGAAACTTACTTGTGGCAAACTAGGATAGCTTTCGATATCTTAGGATGGATCCGGATTACAGAGTCTTGATAGAAAAGGTCTTGGGAGCTAACGAGTTTACTGCATCTTATCTTCTAAAGGAGGTAAAGGGTTTTTAAAAATCCATGCAGTTACATTTTGCCTTGAGAAAGGCAAAATGCACCCTTACTGGAAGGAAGAAAAGGCAGAAGAGACTGGAATACACTGAATGGCCACATGGCCAGCCCAGGGCAGTAAAACTTAAAGGGAAGTTCCCTCACAGAATTCCATTGCAACATCATCAAAAGGAGAGGAGACAGTGGCAAGGAGGAAAACTGAAGACAAAACCCTTTAGGGAAATATGCATAGGAATGTGAAGGGAAGAATTCCTCAGCCTAGTCCTATATCTAGCCTAGCTACTCATTGAGGACTGGAAACTTGATGACACAAGAGACATGTGCAGTCCAGGGATGAAACCCAACAGGTTTTAATTGGATGAGTCATCATCTTTCCCAGAAAAGAGAATCTAGGACCCAAGGAATCTATATCTAGCCCAATAAAGACATTTTATGTTTCACAGCAATGATGCTTCTACTTGAATATAGCTTTGCACAAACCATTTTCAGGTCCATACTAATATGAACATACTCATACGTAATATGTCATGCAATAGGCCCCTATCATCTCCATTATAAACTGATCATTTTTCTAAGGCCTGCATATATATTTTCACATGGTGACATTCAGTATGTTTTTGTTTGACTACTGAATGGTCCTCGGTCATACTGGCACTGGTGATGATGTTCAAGGAAGCAAACTTGAATGTTCTGGGTATACACTCACTGGGAGGGTTATAAAGAATGAATCAGACATTCATGGCTATAAGGATGTGTCAATTTCCTCTAAATATGAGATTGAAATTATTGCATGGGGGAAGAGCAGGGTGCCCTTGTATTGCTGCAAATCTCTACCCCTCAGTGAACAATTTATGCATTACGTTTGAAATGTGCTGTTATAGAAAGAAGATGGGTAAGATGCCTCAGATCATTTAGTCCTAATAGAGGAATGGGGGTAATGGATCAAGGAATGGGGAAATTTTCTGGGTGAGGGCAGGACTCTAGAGGGGCTATGTGGACTTCAAAACATGCAATAAAAATTTAAACTGAAAGTGGCTGGAAGTCCACTTCTGATATTGACAAACAGTGCACACTAAATAGTCCATACACACAACATTAGTTATTTTAAAGGTGAATTGCCAAGGTGAATATTTCCTAGGAACAATTCATGGATTTTGTTTATGTTGTGCAATTCTAAATTTGAAGGCATTCTGTTTCAGAGCGATTCCAGACACAATGATAGAATTGGTAGTCTATTTATTATTTATTTATTTACGTCACTTATATCCCGCCCATATCAACCCGCAGGCGACTCAGGGCGGTCTATGGGAGTGTGCTGGCAGTGTAGGCTTACTGGACATTAGGGCTGTGCTTTTGGGGGTAAACCTTGACCTGTTTCATCTCCCGGCTTTCAGTGGGGGCCCTGATCCATTTTCTGGGAGCCTCCCAAAATCCCAGATATCTGTTTTCACTCTGGAGTGCTGAAAGATCTGTTTTCTGTTGGCCCATCATGGGTAGGGGGTGGCTTCCCATCATTTTAGGCATCAAAGCTGTTTTATTCTAGAGGAGAGGCACTCAGCTACAGGTAGGCATGTGATTTAAAGAGTTTGGATTCTTACCTGTTTCTACTCTAGAGGGGAGGCACTCAGCTGCAGGCAGGAGCGTGCACTTTCTGGGCCTGCACACCACACACACACGCACGCGCACACACACACACACACACACTTTCCAAGGCAAGGAGGCTAGTTCTTATTCTTACTCTAGAGGAGGCACCCAGCTGCAGGCGGGCCTGCACACCACACATGCACTCTCTTTCCAAGGCAAGAAGGCACGTTCTCATTCCTACTCTAGAGGAAGCACTTGGCTGCAGGCA